ATCAAACAAACCCTGAATAGGGCTTTTGAACAGATATCTTCCCGATTCTCGATATATATATATATACATAAACTGTGTTTTGTATCCTAAACTAAACAAAGACAATTTTTTAAGAGATGGATTGGATCCGACATATTTTTTAATTTATTTGTTCAAACATTTTTTTTTAAATGGATACACATATTTGAGTAGGTGCCTTGTTTTTATTTATTTATTAAACATTATATTATTTTGTTGTGCGAGAAAATGTTCTTTTGTTGAATATATATATATATATATGAAGAAATATAGTCTTAAGATGTGCTATATTATGGGATAAAGTGCTCAATATCAGAGATAGAGCGTGTGTAAATATAAAAGTGAACATAGAAGTCAACACTTAGAGGCGACAGGCTGTTTAATGCTATATACAATCGTCAGGACTGTCGCCTCTAAGTGTTGACTTCTATGTTCACTTTTATATATATATATATGTGTGTGTGTGTGTGCGTGTGTGTGTGTGCGTGTGTGTGTGTGTGTGTGTGTGTGACGTCATTTGTTTACATTTGATACGCCCTGGGCAGATATGAATGTACATGAGAGATTCATGGAAGATTGAAGTTTAAAGACAGTAAATTCGACCTTGCTAACCGAACGCTCCTCTGTAGCCGAATCGGTTAAGACACGTCAAAGCTAAATGACCTTTCTGTATAGGATACAGGTTCGAATCCCGTCGGAGGACGAATATTTTTCTATGAATATTGTTTAATACTGTTTATTATAAACAGAGCATTTACGTAAATATTTGTATCTATAAAAAGAATGTATATATATATATATATATATATATATATATATATATATATGAAAATTTCTCTGATTTAATCAGTAGAAGACAATATTTATGAATAAAAATGACAATAGGAAAACTGGTAATTGCAGACGCGTTTCGTCCAATGTGGACTTTATCAAAGCAAAATACGAAAATGAAATTAAATGAACAAAGTAACTAATAAAAACAAAAACAGAATGTACCTAGTAACTGGTATGTAGAGAAACGCTATTTTCATATTTTTTAAACTGAAAAATAACGTCATTATTTGTCACGTATGGAGAATATTGTCATTATATCTGTGTTGATGTATTCAACCATTGTGCATATTTGTTTGTAAGAGCATTCTTACAAACAAATATACACAACAGATTCATAAAATCAAAAGAAAATGGTTTATACACGACGGATTGAATGTTTTACGTCTTCTGATTGGTTAACCTTCTATTGGTGGACTATAAAGTGAGTTAAGTCACTTGAGCTAACTCACTAGTTATATATATATATATATATATATATATATATATATATATATACAAAAAAAAAAAAATGTAACATTGTTATTATACCCTGGAGAGAGCTCCTTCGAGGTTTGGATAGAAGGTATCATGGTCCTAGCATCACTCGTTCATAGTCAGTCTATGAACTCTTCCGCCTACTTATGTAACTGGAACTAAACAACGCGGTTATTAATACGCTATCCCGTGCAGTTGCGGAAAGAAATATAAAGGAGAGACAGGTCGCCACCTTAAGGTAAGGCTTCAAGAACACCAGAAAGCTGTAACACGAGGGGAAGTAAAAAAATCAGGCGTGGCTGACCACATATGGATAGAGAAGGGAGATCACCGCCCTCTGTGTGATCAGGTTGAGATCATAGACAGGGAACACCATTGGAAAATTCGTAAACTTAAGGAATCAGCACATATGCTAGGCCACAAAAATCTCCTGAGCCGACCAAGCATAGAAATGAATACAATATGGTAATAAGGAGTACCAGAGAAAAGCGATAATAACAACAGAAATTGCAATATGAGCTCTTGTAAAAAGATGTAATCATAACAGCAAAAATATGACCACTAGTAAAAAAAAAAAAAAGATTGCTGAAGACATTAGGTTTATAATACCCAGAAGTTCATACACAGGTGTCCTCAAGGACACATGGTTAGATCCAGTGACAGGACCCAAAGAGTTTGTGAGTTCAATACCTGGTTAAGGCAGTGGAGAACTTGGAGAGAGGAATTAACAGGAGATAACTGACAACTGACATCCATTAAACATGGCACGTGGAACTAGCGCAGTCTACCCAAGTGAGCGAAATAAAGGGTTCAGTTCGACATTCCAAGCACCTGAAGAGCGTACAACGGCCGAAACTTTGTAATAAACATGGCGACAAAGATGAGGACAATAGTCCGAATAATGTAAATAATGTAAATAGTATTAATAAGAAGAGTTGAAATTAATGCATGCAACATTTCACAGCATTCTTTTATAGTCCATATAGATATAATGTATCTACATAGAAAGTCAAATATATATTTAAACGTAAAAGTATTTGAATAATATGTAAAATAGAATACATTAAATGCTCGTATAGCCAATTCATTTAAAATCTTATTCTTGCAAATATTTCAATTATACTGTCTATATTTACATGAAAAGGTTACTTAATCTTTTCTGACTCAACGTTGATCGCTGATGTCTCCACTAAATTTAATTTTGAGAAACTCCTACAACAAGCACTGGAAAGAGTAATTGTTCAAAGACTTCTCAGTGCCACAAAAATGGTAGTTAAACTTTCTTGTAGCTTCCACTTATTATTCAGTAAACGAAACTTAAATTTCTCTGTGTAGAAATGCTCGCTTCTAACTGAGCTTCTTTAAATAAAACAATATGGCGTCCAAGGAGATGTACTTCGGCGGTCATAGCTGGAGTGTTTTAGAATATTTCACGTATAAATGCTGAATGGGTCGAACAATGAAGTTACCTTTTTCTGTATAAAATTGGCTGAAAAAGTGTATTTATCTTTATTGTACGTGCGTATTTTTTTCTTCATTTTAGCTGTCAGCTTATCTATTGCCTTAAGTTTTTGCCGATGTGTTTCCTGGATTAAAGTCAAGCCAGAATTACTACTTTGTTCCTCTGACGTCATCTTTTGCCTTTCAATTCTTCTTTCTTTAGAAACGTTATACGGTTTACATATCTGCATAGCTCTCTCGGCTGCCTCTGGGACAAGAGAACCATGCCTTTCCTCGCAAAACGGAGTCATTGATTTCAAGTTTTGTAAACATTGATCAAGTGCAAGTCCTTTTTGTTGCCGGTATATGTGAGTATCATTCATATCTATAAGCAGAACGTCCTGGGTATGACGATAAACTACAACCGGCAGCAAGGAATAATAATTTGTTTGCGATAGATGGCGCTCGAGAGGATTTGTGAAGCCCGGAAATACTCCTTCATGGCTGTTATTTCCAGGTCCACCCTGACATTGGGTGGTAGCACCTGTTAGGGTCCCAGATATGGGCAAATAGTTCATTCCTTAACTGGAGTCAAAACACTATGAAATAACACACTAAGTATATAGAATCATGATGGTAGTGAATGGTGGACACTCTCCCCACCGATGACGAAAAAAACTAGTGGTTCTAGAGAAGGATACTGAGGATTCCATGGACGGATCGAGTAAGCAACAAAGAAGTCTTAAAGAAAATGGCAACAGAAAGAACATTTCTATCCAGAATCAGGAAGAGATACCGGAAAATCGGGGACACATGATGTGGAAGGACGGCTTGGAAAACTTAATCCTCACGGGGCGTATTGTGGGTATGAGGGATAGAAGAAAGCAGGGAGCCACTTAGTTGGGTGGCGAAACGGGGGCGGAGTAAAGTGAGACAATCTGCTCAGAGCCACATGAGAGTTTTGGAGAGCCATAATTGCTAAGGGACTCAGAACATCGAAGTAGACATGCTTTTGCAAGATGACAATGCGAAAACGCGCAACAGACAGCCTGAAGGCGAGGCAAATAATCACAGTTTATGGCTAGACGATCATGTTTCGCCGACCCTACAGTCCTATAGACTGGTTCCATGGGAAAAAAGGCACTCAGAAGACGGCGGGTTAGGCATTGATGGTGACATGAAATAGGCAACTTTCACATGCCGAAGAAAATAGCCAATACGATTCTTCTAGACGGGCAACAAAGGTTCAAAGGTAGAATGCCACAACTGAAAAAAAGTAAAGGAACTGCGTTGTAAACTCGAATTGAAATACTGATATTTTGCCGCTGATTTTGATGTGGGGTGGACAACGGTTAACCCTACACCTTGAACAAGTTAAGACTGCAGTGAACGCTGAAGTAACGGTTTCATAAAGAAGTGTGTGGGAAGAAAAGCTGATCGAGTGGAAGTTACATATCATCAATAGAATAGGAAGGGAGTTAGTAAGCAAAAATGTTCAAGGCATGGTGGGTCTTCGCCGTGAAGATTAGAATTAGTAAAACTAAGGAACGTACAGGGTAGTCCAAAAGTATTGTCAACCCGACATAATATAACAACGCTCTGTGGGGAGAGTTTCACATGAATGATACCAAAATACCCATTAGTTAAAAGACGCCGTTCGGAGCAACAAATCACAGCTTCGTAAACATGGCGCCTGATCACTTTGTACCATGAAAATAATGATGTTCATACAGACCTTCTCGATGTGTGACAGCGTCAATGAAAGTGAACAAACTGAATCCAGTATATATGCTTTGTTTGACAGTATTACTTGTTCTTCTATTCTCATTACTTTTTCCTAGCGATTTCCTAAGATTTTCGGAACACCCAATAGATAGATAATGAATGTATTTAGATACATAGATATGAACAGATTGAGACAGATAGATAGATAGATAGATAGATACAGGTTGGTCAATATAATCTAACAACGTTCTGTGGGTGGGTGGGGGGTTATCAAGGATAGATTTTCGCATGAACGATACCAGAATACCCATAAGTTGAAGGACGCCGTTCGGAGAGCCTTTGCAACAATCAACACAGCACAGATTCATAAAATATCACACAGCACATGGCTCCATCTTATTTGCTACCACGAAAATAATGATGTTCATACAGACCTTCTCGATGTGTGACAGCGTCAATGAAAGTGAACTTTTACTTTTTCCTAGTGGGGACAAGATTTTCGGAACATCCTATAGATAGATAATGAATGTATTTAGATACATAGATATGAACAGATTGAGACAGACAGACAGATAGATAGATAGATAGATATATAGATAGATAGATAGATAGAGGATGGTCAATATAATATAACAACGTTCTGTGGGGGGAGTTATCAAGGAGAGATTTTCGCATGAACGATACCAGAATACCCATAAGTTGAAGGATGCCGTAAGGAGAGCCTTTGCAACAATCAACACAGCACAGATTCATAAAATATCACACAGCACATGGCTCCATCTTATTTGCTACCACGAAAATAATGATGTTCATACAGACCTTCTCGATGTGTGACAGCGTCAATGAAAGTGAACTTTTTTACTTTTTCCTAGGGGACAAGATTTTCGGAACATCTATAGAATAGATTTTTAGATACATAAAATACCAGACAGATAGATAGATAATAGATTAGAGATAGATGAATAGATAGAGGATGGTCAAACGATACCAGAATACCATAAGTTGAAGGATGCCGTAAGGAGAGCCTTTGCAACAATCAACTCCATTCATAAAATATCACACAGCACATGGCTCCATCTTATTTGCTACCACGAAAATAATGATGTTCATACAGACCTTCTCGATGTGTGACAGCGTCAATGAAAGTGAATAAAATGAATCAAAATACATAGGCTTTGTATTATTGTATTACTTGCTCTTCTATTGTTCTCATTACTTTTTGGTAGTGGATGACAAGACTTTCCGACCACCTCGTATATTTCCATTCAGTTAGCCGGCGTGGCATACAAAATACCATTTGTTTATGGTAGATGGCGCTCTGTTGCCATGTAGACTATAGGGTGGTCCAAAAGTCTTGTTATTCCTACATAATATAATTTTCTATTTCAGATGGCTGACACGAAAATGATGGCGTTCATACAGACCTTCTCAATGTGTGACAAATAGATAAAATGAATCCAGTACAAGTCCTTTGTATTACTGCATTACTTGTTCTTCAATTGTTCTCATTACGTTTTTGGTAGGTGGTGACAAGACTTTCGGGCCACTCTATAAATAAGTAATGAATGCATTTAGATAGATATACACAGGGGTTGGACAAAATAATTGGATCACTTGTTAAATTCAACAAAAATTTATTTAGCCTCACAGACAGGAATGGAATCATACAGCTTCCTGACTTCATCCAGAGGAATTTTCAGTCATTCTTCCATTAAAACCTTCTCCAGCTCTTTACAACACGATGGTGGAGGATAGCGGCTCCTAACTTGTTGCTCCAAAATGCACCAAAAATGTTCAATAATATTGATATCTTGAGATTGGGGAGGTCACTCCATGTGTTCTAGCTCACTTTTATGCTCTTCATACCAGTTCTTAACCACTCGAGCGGTATGTATTGGAGCATTATCGTCTTGGAAGATGCAGTCACCATCAGGGAATAAAGTCTTGGCCATTGGATGAACATGATCTCCCAAAATGTTCAGGTAATCTTTGCTGTTGATTCTACCATGCAGGGCAACTATTGGACTGAGACATTTCCATGATATGGCGGCCCAAACTATCACTGATCCACCTCCATGCTTCACTGCTGGAAGAAGGCAGTCAGGGTTGTAAGCTTCTTTGGGCTGCCTCCACACATAAACTCGCCCTGAAGTTGAGAAAAGAGAAAAACTGGACTTGTTTGAGAATATGACTTGCTTCCATTGGTCTGCAGACCAGGCATTGTGATCTCTGCACAATTTCAATCTCTTTTGAATGTTGCGAGTGGAGAGAAGAGGTTTCCTCACAGCGGCTCTTCCATGATATGCAGCCTTATGGAGCTCACGGTGAACAGTTTTAGTAGAAACTAAACTATTCAGATGGCTATTCAACTCAGCACTCACTTTGGCCGCATTTGTCCGATGAGTTTTTGCCACATTGCGTTTCAATGCACGCCAGTAAGTTTGCAAGTCCGGCCCGAATTGCTACGGTTGCTAGAGTTCTTGCCAAACAGTTTAGCAACCTTTGTGATCAAGGCTCCTGCCATGTGAGCTCCAACAATTTGCTCTTTTTTCGAATTCGGAGAGGTCACGCATTTAGCTTAAATTTTACTAAATTCTAAAAATAAATAAGACAAAGACAGTAAATTAGATAAATAAACGTATTTACAATAGATATAACCTGCAATTACGAAGTTTTAGTTAAAGTTCTTAATATAATAGGTCTTTGAAATATCGGAGTGGATTTTGCAACTGTTCCAATTATTTTGTCCAACCCCTGTAGATAGATAGATAGATAGATAGAAAATTAAAAGAATCGGATAGATATGTAGATAAATAGATAACTAGACAGAAAATTAACAAAATCAGATAGATAGATAGATAGAAAATGAACAAAATCTGATAGATAGATAGATAGATACATACATTTATACAGGATGGTCCGAAAGTCTTATCACCCTACATAATATATTTTTTTTGTATTTCAACGCTCTGTGGAGTATTATCAACAAGGAAAGAGCTTTATGATTTAGGAACGAAAATGATGATGTTCCTACAGAACTTCTCGATGTGTGACAGCGTCAATGAAAGTAAATAAACTGAATCCAGAACATGTGCTTTGTATTACTGTATTACTTGTCCTTTTATTGTTCTCATTACTTTTTGATAGGGGATGACAAGACTTTCGGAACACCCAATAGTGAGATAATGAATGCATTTAGATAGATATGAACAGACTGAGCTAGCTCTCAAGGAGAGAGAGTTTCACATGAACAATAAAAAAATACTAATCAGTTGAAGGGCGCCATTCGAAGAGTCTTTGCAACAATCAACAAAGCACAGCTTCGTAAAAATATCACACAGAACATGGCGCCTCATCATTTGCTGCCACGAAAATGATGTTTTTCATACAGAACTTCTCGATGTGTGACAGCGTCAAGGAAAATGAATAAACTGAATCCAGTAAATTTGCTTTATATTACTGTATTACTTGTTCTTCTATTGTTCTCATTACGTTGGTAACGGATGAAATGACTTTCCGACCACTTCCGTTGTAATTTGGATTTCCGGAACCCGTACTCACAGAAATGGTTTGTAAATTTTAAGGTCTCCAAAAACGAAACTACTATCATTTAATCATCACAGAGAACCATTTTTGTTCCCTATTAAAATGGCTGCTGCTAACCTCCACAAGAGCGACTCATTGCGCTTTCTAGGTCTCACGTTTCCAACTGACTACATCGAATCAATAGCTGCATCTATTGCAAGGAAAGTGGGTTCACTGTGTCAATCCAGATAATTTTTCTGGTTAGAATCCATGTTGCACAATTATAAAGTTACCATTCGCTTGTGGATTGAATATTGATCTTATATATCTGGTCTGGTGCTCCTGGTACAGATCTCGACGGTCTTGCTAAAATTCAAGGAAGTGTCTGTGATTTTATCTGTCTTAACCTGGCACATCGGCTTCACTAACCAACGGCATTGACATGGCTTGCATCTGTTTTTTTTTTTTCTAAAAATATTTTAATCGCAGTTTTTCTAATGAGCCCATCCCGTTGTTAATTCGACCACATGAATTTAAGTTTACTGCTAGATTCGCAACTAAGTTACATCTTTTTACTACTGAAATAGCTAGATTTACCATCCTGGGTAAGACGATAAACTAAATCCGCGTACTGGGTAAGGCGATAAACTACATCCGGATCCTGGCTAAGACGATAAACTACATCCGCGTCCTGGGTATGACGATAAACTACATCCATGTCCTGGGTATGACGATAAGCTATATCCGCGTCCAGGGTAAGACGATAAACTACATCCGCGTCCTGGGTATGACGATAAACTACATCCACGTCCTGGGTATGACGATAAGCTATATCCACGTCCAGGGTAAGACGATAAACTACGTCCACGTCCTGGGTATGACGATAAGCTATATCCACGTCCAGGGTAAGACGATAAACTACGTCCGCATCCTGGGTATGGCAAAAAACTACATCCGCGTCCTAGGTAAGACGATAAACCATGTCCGACAACAGGTCCTCTCATCAGGAGATTTTGAGGAGCATGGAATCACCTGTTAATTAATGGTGTTCTCAGGTTCAAACTGACTCGGAGTGGTAGCACCTGTTAGGGTCCCAGCTCTGGGTAAATAGTTAACCCTCAAACTGGGGTCAAAACAATATGAAAGTGTAAAAATAGGTTTTAATACCAGCAATACTTTGTAAAAATTATTATCAGCAATAAATTTTCGAAGAGAAATTATTATCAATAATATATTATTACCAGCAATATATTTTTGAAAAAAAATATTGCCAGCTATACATTTAAAGAAAATATGAGCAATACATTTTTGAACAAAAAAAAAAAAAAATTACCAGAATAAAAATCTTGTCGGCATTAAATAACCGATTGAGTTGTTGATATGCCGTCATACAAAATAAACCCAAAGCCTGATCTACAAAGTGATTTCTTACAAAGAATACATATTCTATTCAAACGAACCTATCCTAAAAATCTTGTCAGCATTAAATAACCCATTGAGGTGTTGATATGCCGTAAAACAAAATAAAAACATAGCCTGATCTACAAAGTGATTTCTTACAAAGAATACATATACTATTCATACGAACCTATCCTAAAAATCTTGTTGGCATTAAATAACCCATTGAGGTGTTGATATGCCGTAAAACAAAATAAAACCATAGCCTGATCTACAAAGTGATTTCTTACAAAGAATACATATTCTATTCATACGAACCTATCCTTAAAATCTTGTCGGCATTAAATAACCCATTGAGGTGTTGATATGCCATAAAACAATATAAACACAAAGCCTGATCTACAAAGTGATTTCTTACAAAGTATACATATTCTATTCATACGAACCTATCCTTAAAATCTTGTCGGCATTAAATAACCCATTGAGGTGTCGATATGCCGTAAAACAAAACAAACAAACAAAACAAATGCTAGATCTGTAAAGTTTTCTTGCTTACCCTGCTATCTACAATCTTCAAAAATGTAAAAATCAATCGCTATCTTCAGTCTTTCTAAGTCTTAATCATTTGAGTCCTGGGTATGACGATAAACTACATCCGGTAGCAAAGGCGCTGATTAGGAGAATGGGTGTTTCGAAAAGCATGGAACCACCTTTTAATTGCTGTTGTTCCCAGGTCCATCCTAACCCTGGGTGGTAGCACCTGTTAGGGTCCCAACTACGGGGAAATGGTTACTCCCGAAACTTGGGTCAAGACACAAGGAAGGTATAAAAATATATTTTTATAGTAAAAATTACCAATAGTACATTTTTCTATAATTTTTTTACATTTTTGTTCTACAATTTCTTAAAGAAATCAAACTGCATTCCAAAATATAACTACCATGTATTCAATTGTGAAAGCAGAATAACAAAACTACAACATAAAACACACATATCACCGCCTCTAGTAATTATGTCCACAGAAACATGTATATGCACAAAAGCTGAGTATCATCTACCATGGATTCAACTGTGAAAGCAGAATAACAAAACTACAACATAAAACACACTTATGACTGCCTCTAGTAATTATGTCCACAGAAACATGTATATGCACAATAGCTGAGTATCATCTACCATGGATTCTATTGTGAAAGCAGAATAACAAAACTACAACATAAAACACACATATCACTGCCTCTAGTAATTATGTCCACAGAAACATGTATATGCACAAAAGCTGAGTATCATCTACCATGGATTCAACTGTGAAAGGAGAATAACAAAATTACAATATAAAACACACATATCACTGCCTCTAGTAATTATGTCCACAGAAACATGTATATGCACAAAAGCTGAGTATCATCTACCATGGATTCAACTGTGAAAGTAGAATAACAAAACTACAACATAAAACACACTTATCACTGCCTCTAGTAATTATGTCCACAGAAACATGTATATGCACAAAAGCTGAGTATCATCTACCATGGATTCAACTGTGAAAGCAGAATAACAAAACTACAACATAAAACACACATATCACTGCCTCTGGTAATTATATCCACAGAAACATGTATATGCACAAAAGCTGAGTATCATCTACCATGGATTCAACTGTGAAAGCAGAATAACAAAACTACAACATAAAACACACATATCACTGCCTCTAGTAATTATGTCCACACAAACATGTATATGCACAAAAAGCTGAGTATCATCTACCATGGATTCAACTGTGAAAGCAGAATAACAAAACTACAACATAAAACACATATCACTGCCTCTAGTAATTATGTCCACAAACATGTATATGCACAAAAGCTGAGTATTATCTACCATGTATTCTATTGTGAAATCAGAATAACAAAACTACAACATAAAACACACATATCACTGCCTCTAGTAATTATGTCCACACAAACATGTATATGCACAAAAGCTGAGTATCATCTACCATGAATTCAATTGTGAAAGCAGAATAACAAAACTACAACATAAAACACACATATCACTGCCTCTAGTAATTATGTCCACAGATACATGTATGTACACAAAAGCTGAGTATCATCTACCATGGATTCAGTTGTGAAAGCAGAATAACATATATTTTAATTTAGGGACTCCCAAGAAAAATAACTTCTCGGATTAAATAACCCATAATGAGTTGATATGCTCTTAAACAAAACAAACCTTTTCTTTTATTGTCCTTTCTCCCCATTAGTCTGTTTCTTTATCTTCACTGCCAGTAAACCCTTGCGTCTTAGTGTCATTATTGCGTTGTGGGGTTAGAATGATTAATATATATATATATATATATATATATATATATATATATATATATATATATATATAACTCACACACATATATATACACACACACACACATATATATATATATATATGTGTGTGTGTGTGTGCACAAATGTGTTGTGTGTGTGTGTGTGTATATATATATATATATATATATATATATATATGACTTGAGGCAATCGGTTGTCTAGCCATTATTGCAAAACAGTCTGTCTATATATGGACATATATATATATATATATATATATATATATATATATTCGAATCTCGAATCTCATATCAATTTTTTCGGAAGTAGACTCCTGATGTCATCGGTCTGGGGTGGGGCAATCTCAGTGTGCGGCACATTTGGAAAGTGCCTGAAAAACATACCATGGGTTGACTCAAGTCTTGTGAGTGAAACTGGGTAGACGCAAATCTTGCGGGCCGTCGGTAGCTGTTCTAGCACGAAGTCTCAAGTCATCGTGACCGAGACCTTGTTCAGATTGTTGAGCACGCCAGATAACACGCTCTCTCCCAGAAACTATACCTAAAGTCTGCTCAGCAGAGTTGCAGTATAAACCGCTGGTTGGCTCTGTGGGTGTTGAACAAACACAAATGTGCCTGAGCGAGCGTCTGTAATAGGGATTAGGGTAGTCGCCCTAATAGACGGGTATCCTTGAATACGAGTGACCAGATATTATATACATATACATATATATATATATATATATATATATATATATATATATATATATATAAGTTATGAAGAATTTGTTAAACCGAATTGGTAATTCAAGGAGGATGAAATCTTGAGTATTTTCCTCTCATTTCATTGTTGGAAGTGTTACCTGATGATCCAAAATCATTTAAAAGGATTTTGGTGAAATAAATTATTGTTATAATACCTTAAAGTGTCTGTTGTTCATTATATATATATATATATATATATATATATATATATATATATATATATATATATATATATATACCTCTGTGTGTTGGGTTTGACAGAAGCAGTGAGCGGATTCCCCAAAGTGTGCACTCCTTTCCAAACATGGTGTATGGTAACGAGCTAACGTAATTAATCCCAATATTCTAATTATTTTTCTTGCGCGATATCGCTTTACATCAAAGCGAGGGACCCCACGCCAGCCAGCCAGCCAGCCAGCCCGCCCCGATTCAACGAATGACAAACGTAAACATTGATAAAAAGGCAATCAACAACTACGGCTCCCGTATTCAAACTTTCGCTTCCTACTTATTTCCGGTGTCCCTATCGCTATCCGACTGGCCAGTGACGTCGGATGGCGCCACGAGTATCGATCTCCCGATCTGACTTGGCTGGACGCGGCCGTTTCTGTTGAATGACGCGACTAATAATAGAGAAAAAATGAAGCAAGAATGGTAATGAAGTTGAGGGAAATGAAGATCGGGTTCCTGCAACATGAAGAAACCAGAGATGAGGCCAAAACTGCACTTCTACCATTTTCACTAATGAAATATCTTTTTTTTCTTTAAAGACCATGTCCCTTCAGGTCGTAGGTGAACATGGCTCACCACAGCTTCCTTAACGTTCTTATCTGTAAATTGATACGCATTTTGGGGAAAGATAGTGGAACGGTTTCTCGATACCTTCCAAACGGCTTTGAATGAAGAGCTACATTTCTCCATTCTGGACGTAGCTGTTCATGGCTATCCACAGCTTCCTTTTCTTTATCTTTGAATTTCATTTTACAGTTTTGAATTAAGTGATTACTTTCTTCATTCAGAATATACCTGATCATGGCTATCCACAGCTTCTTTTTCTTTGAATTTCATTTTACAGAGTTTTGAATTAAGAGATTCCTTTCTCTATTCAGGACATACCTGGTCATGGCTATCCACAGCTTCTTTGTCTTTGAATTTCATTTTACAGAGTTTTGAATAAAGAGATTCCTTTCTCTATTCAGGACATACCTGGTCATGGCTATCCACAGCTTCCTTTTCTTTATCTTTAAATTTCATTTTACAGAGTTTTGAATTTAAGAGATTGCTTTCTCTATTCAGGACATACCTGGTCATGGCTATCCACAGCTTCCTTTTCTTTATCTTTGAATTGCAATTTAACAGAGTTTTGAATTAAGAGATTCCTTTCTCTATTCAGGACATACCTGGTCATGGCTATCCACATCTTCCTTTTCTTTAAATTTGAATTGCATTTTGCAGGGATTTGAGTTAACAGATGACATTCTCCGTTCAGGATGTAGCTGATGATGGCTATCCACAGCTTCCTTTTCTTTATCTTTGAATTGTATTCTCGACATTTGTGAGTAGATTGTCCAGGATTCATTGTCATGTATGACGAATTTAGTTACACAGCAATTCAGTACTCTTTTCATTGTTTCGAACGAATTTTTCCTGTTTCTTAATACTTTGTTTAGATTTTAGAAAACATCTTTCAA